AAACTTAGAAATCACAACAAATCTAAAAGAAATGAAAGATTGGGTTGTGTTGAATATTTGTGCTTTTAATTATAATTATATTTTTTTAATGTTTTCATATTTTTATTTATAAAAGTATCAGATATAGTGAAAGAAAACTTCATCACAATAAATAACTATAATAATTGATTACGTTATTTATACAATCATATAAATAAGAAATCTACAACACATTAAAGTTCTAGATAAACAACCAAAAATTATACATATAAGGTACAAATATATTTACTCTACTATTATTTTTCTTTAAGAGTTAATAGATTTCTTATTATAATTTTTTATTTTTTATTTTTTTTTGTGCAGCAAAACTTACACCAATAAATCGAATGCCCAAAGATCTTTTTCAAAGGATAAGAATCATTTGAACAAAATGTTAAAATTTACATCTATTGAAGTAGAAAAGCTTTTTTTTAAACCCAAATAAGATTGAGTAACATATTTTATAATTATAAAAATTACTTTTTTAATTAAATTGCAGGAGAAAAATATTCAGCTCTCAAGTACACAATCAAACTACCTAGAAAAATAGCAACGACGAAGATTAAAATTCCATTCAAAGTATTCTACATTAGTTATTAATTTCATAGAATTTTTAATAAATTTAAGTTCTGTTAGTGTATTCCTTTTTTATGAAATTTTCAATGTATTTTCCAATGTAAAAATAAATAATAAATTCTTAATAAAAAAATTTCACAAAATGATTGAAAACCCGTGCGTAACGCGTTTTGATAAGTTGTTTTATTTTATTGATAAGAGCCATCAATGTAAAATTAATTTTAATAAATTGCAGTATTTTTATAATTTTGAATATTACATATTTTATTTAAAACAATATTATGCAATTTAAATTATACTAAATTATGATATTAATTACCCTTTTTATCTAATGATCACTATTTTATTTTTATAGCTTGGTGTAATTTAAGTTCTTTTTTTTTTTCTTGCCTTCTTATTATGAACTACTACGTTTGAAAGAAAAAAAATCAAACTTTTTAATCCATTTTCTTTTATTAAGAGGGATATTAAGACTTTAATTGTAAAATATATATATATATATATATA